GTGCATTCTCAAGCCCGTTTTATGGGCGAAAAATGGCCTCCTACGATGCATGAACGCGTGTTCAGTCTTTTGCTTTTTCACAGTTGAACCAGGCCTCATAAACAGGCGGGCCTACGCACCGCTGCAGGCGCGGGTCGGTGTTGATACATTTATATGATGGGGACAAGGATCGCTTCAGGGGGTTGAGTCAGTCCTGAGGCGAGATATCACCCCACTTCGGCCCACAACACCGAAATAGACGACTAAAACAGTGGAATATGCACGCAACACTTATGCGCGCCTATTCGGTGCGAATAGACGTCTAAAACACGTGTTTAGACGACTAATTGTATGCAACGCCTAATCGGTGCAACAATCTTCTGGCGGTCTGTGAATCCATGCCGAACGCGGATGGAAGCGGGCAGCCTAATCTCCCGGCCGTCTGCGAATCCGTGCCGACGTGCGGATACTCTAGCACGTACAACATAGCCTTTGGTGTGGTGAATAGGTGAATCTGTGGATTGCACTACTACCTAGACGAAGCGGCTGGACGGAGTGATCTATTCCGAAGTTCCGAACACTGAACACAGCTTTGCGAACTGTGTGTAGGGCTGGCTGATAATTAGAACACAAGAAGTATAAGAGCAGCTGTCTTCCTTAGTTCTATCAGTACAACGCCAAAACAAACAACACCATGTCCACTACCACCACCATCTTGGTCACAGGCGCGACTGGCACCCAAGGCCGAGGCACCATCCGCGAGCTACTCAAGCTCGGCCATGTTGCCGTGCGTGCTTTGGTGCGCGACGACACCAAGCCCGCCGCTGCCGAGCTGCGCGAGTCCGGCGTTGAACTCGCTGTTGGCCATTTTGACGACCCTACCGCACTCTCACTCGCGCTGCGTGGCGTCGACGCCGTCTTCATCAACGTCTCGCCGCTTTTCAATGACCTCGACGCCGAAGCCCGGCATGGCAAAAACCTTGTCGATGCGGCCGTTGCTTCCGGCTCGGTGCACACGGTTGTCTACTCCAGCGTCCTCCTGACCGGCCAGCATGAGAAAAACCCCCGCTGGCACCATCTTGCGAACGAGGGAACGCGCGCCTACTGGCTCAACAAGGCCCGCGTTGAGCAAGCCGTCCGCTCCTCGTCCATCAGGCACCGCATCATCCTGCGCCCAGCCCACTTCATGACCAACTACGTCGGCTCCTTAGGCGGCATGATATTCCCCGAACTGTTTTCGCAAGGCGTCCTTCGCGCCGCCTCGACTCCTACTACGCCTACTATGCTTATCAGCCCGGACGATATTGCCAAGTTTGCCGCCGCCGCCCTCACCCAGCCCGAAGTCTATAACGGCCAAGAGATCGATTTAGGTGTCGAGAACCTAACGAACGAGGAGATCGCCGCGGCGCTGTCGAGGGCCACGGGTAGGCAGATCCAGACGCAGTATATTGCGCCGGACAAGGCCGAGGAGCTAGCCAAGACGAACCCAATAATCAGCTCCCAGCTCTTCTTCAACGAGCGTAGTTCAGGCGTCGACGTGGCCGCCCTCCGTTTCAAATACGGTATTCCGTTGCAGACGTTTTCCGAGTTCCTCGACGCGCACAAGGACGATGTGAAGGCTTCTTTTGGTTAGATACAGCAGGCATTACCAATACCATGCATAGCTCCTTTCTAATGACATATGTGAAAACCGCTCCAGTGCTCAATAGAGAGAACGGTATATCTTCTAACCATGCCTTTACCTTGTCTCTTCGACAGTCCTCGAGGCGTTTTTTGAGAGCAAGGCGCTTGCAGACCACTTCATTGAGGAGCATAAATGTGGCCACTACTTTGAGACGATTTTGCCAATGCAGAACAAGCTGTGTCGCGCTCACTCTGGAAGCCTTCAATTAGTAGGGGCGTGATCTTGCCACATCGCAGCCAAGCCACAAGCTACTGCCTATCAGCCACATTCAATCTCTCGACCGGCTAGTTGATTATCTTTACAAGATGCTCGAAAAAGAAGCCCTGCTTATTAAGAGAAACGGTGGACAAATCGTACGGACCAAAGTCCCGGTGTCAACTACTCCCAGCACCGAGATATTGCAGAATACAGTCTCTATTGCGTGAATCTCCTGAACATTCATACCCCCATAATCTAACACATTTCGCTGAATCGAGCCTTGCCGACGTCTTGACGGCAAGTCTGACGGCATCAAGATGGTCTTTGCCCTTTGGGACAGAAGAAGGAAGATGACTGGCCTCAGGTCTTCACGCGAATTCCCGCTAAACAAGTTGTCTTACAGCTAAACACAAGACTTTGTAAAGCGGCTTGTTTCGAAACTGCCAGAAGACAATAGTCCACTCAAAATCTTGGAGGTGCCGGAACCGGTGGAACTACCAAATGGATTGTTCCTCTCTTGGAAAACTTAGGCTTCACAGTAGGAGTACACTTTCAGCGACCTCTCCCCCTTATTTGTAGCTGCTGCCAGAAATAACTTCAGCAAAAGCTACTTTATAAAGTTTCGGATAGTCGACATCGAGAAAACTCCAGCAGACGACCTTCTCAACAATCAACACATGGTGCTGGCCAGCAATGCCGTACACGCTACTCAAAGTTTAACTGGGTCTCTGAGCAACATGCGGAAGACACTACGGCGCGATGGCTTCGTAATGATGCTGGAAATGACGATTAACGAGAACGTTGTATTGGGTTGAATGATATTTGGCCTACTGGATACCTAAAGTCTTTTCGAGAATGGCCGCCGTCATGCATTCGCAAACCAGTCACGATAGGAGAAAGATCTCTACACGGTCGGCTTCAGCCACGTAAACTGAACGAATGGTAGCCACCCGGAGACGGCGATACAGGGTGTCATTGTCGCCCTCAACGACGGAGAGAACTCGTCAGCCCGCCAGGCCATGTCGTGGTTGACGCCTACGTCGAAAAATACTCGCGAGACTTCTCCCCTCCTATCCGCACCGAGCCACAATGTTGATCCAGAAAACCTCTTCGTACTAGTAGCTCCCGCTACTAGTAGTCTCAGATCGCACCTTGTAGCCTATCTCTCACGCTTGGCCCAAGTTAAGTCGGTCGTCTGCCTGAATTAAAAAGGCAAGACGGATTCCCAGACGCATTAGCCTTAGGCTTTAGAAATTAGAATCGCGTGGTATTGACAGGAAGGCCTAGCGAGGATAAAGGTTATAGAGACAGGCACAACGAAGCCAATACTGGGCCTGGAAAAGGAGTAATACGACAATCTCGTTGCCACTGTAATGCATATAGTCCACAACTCGTAGCCGGTAAGCGGAAAGCGGCCTCTCAAAGGATTCGAAAGTCAATTCAAAGTTATACGCAACTTTTTAGACTTTGCCAGCGCAGCCGCGGCCACTTAGAGTCACTAATCGGCTTCTAGTTCGTCTCATCTATTACGTTAGTAGGCCAACATCCTATACACAAAGGCAACTTGCCAGTCCTAGAGGAGAGGATAACAATAGCCGGAAGCGGTACTCGCCAACTTTACGGTAATATCAAGTAGGTTTGTAACTTATTAAGCGTGTGCTCGATAAGACGCTACACCGTTATCCTCGGAACTTCGCCGCTAGCTTCGTGCGCCTAGGCTAAGGCTTAATAACTACCGGATATTAGAATCTTCGACGGTATACTATCCTAGCGTGCGGAATCGTCTAGCCTTATTACCGTCGGTCTAAATAAATAGACGGTACGCTAATAGACGGTAACGACTATCTCCGTAGCGTCGCGCTAAGAACAGTCTCGTCCCGATAGAGCTTAGTTTAGGAGGACGGTAGTAGACGGTAGTTAGAGGCGACCGCTATATATATTACCTAATTAGGCTTAGAGCTAGGGTATTAGTAGGTCGGTATATAATCTTATATCTTCGATACTATACGAATCTTTATAATACTATACTAAATCTCGCGATATCGGTTTAATTAAACGAGACGGCTTACTTCGTCGTCTAATTAAATAAATAGACGGTAGGGACGGTAGGCGGTTCGTCCCGCCTACCGTCTAGCGCCGACGGGACGGTTAAACACGCTATACTATCCTAGACGCCGGGCAATAACGTAGCGGTTATACTAGGTAATCTACTACTCGATTATACGCCCTTTCCTGTTTATTACATCGACAACACGGTACGGTAACCCTGGAGCGAGATGGTGCCTGTCTTTAGCTAAGGCTATCGGCGCCGACGTTATTCCCTTCGCCGAATAGCTTAAACGGGGTATTACTAGATACTGTTGCCGGAAAAAGTTTAACAGGTAGTCCGGATACGCGACGAGGAGTCGAATCCAAAGTCTAAACAGTAAATTACAAAGTATTCGGCTTCACAACGTCTTTTCCCCGTGCGAACTTATACAATTTTCGGGGCTGTAGAGAGGCCCGCAAGCTTTAGTTAACCAGTAAACTTTTGCCGGAAACTGTAGTAGCAGGGGTAACACGGGGTACTTTTCATCTTATACGAGGAAGGTCTCGCCGACCAGATTATTAGATGTCGTAGGAACCTCTCCGGGTAACGGTCCAGCAATCTGTGAGGTGTTGGGGAAGGGTGGACCGTACACGAGTAGGCGCTTTCAAGATAAAACCTCCATGGGCAGAATGATAGACGAATAATAGGCAGAAGCGGACGCGTCCGAGGTTTTGGCCCCCAAAATGTTTCTGGATTGAGCCTGCTCCGATGCGGGGTAATTACGAGATGCATGCGGGTTTGGGTAGGATTGGCAGATACCGACTCTATATGCATGTCAGCGGCCTCGCTAAAGCTTACCTTGGAAACAATATATGCAGGCTACATGTGTGGTCGTCGGGAAATTTTTCTCTTCACTTACCTCTTGATTCTACACAACATTTTTCTGTGATCTGACCGTTCAAACTCGCATTCATTCTGACGGACCTTGCGCATTTCGGCCACATGTACTGCCTCGAAATACATAAAAGAGCCGTGCCCTTCTTCCAGCTCCTCATACTGGCAGTTCTGGCGTTCTCTCTCCCCACAGCGGCCGCACCTCCCCTCTTTTCCTTCGAAAAAACCCAACTCCACGACACTGATATCCAAACTCTCCCTACTATTCACCGTTCACTCTTTGCCTTCGACAACAATTCCAGCTCTCAAGTTCCGCACAATGAAGGTCGCTGCAAAGTGTACCCCACAGACCAATCGTGGCCTAGCCCCGACGCCTGGGCCGCTCTCAACACTCTCACTTCCGACGCTCTCATAAAAGTCACCGCTCCGCAAGCCGCGCCCTGCTATCCAGGTGCAGAATATAACGCGGAAATATGTGCAGACCTTACAGCCAACTGGACCAACTCTTTCATCCACCTCTCAGACCCCGTAGAGATGCTCTCCCCGGTCACGCAAGGCTTGACTTGCCAACCACCAGATGTCTTTGACAGCAAAAACTGCAGGCTTGGCGGGTATCCTTTGTATGTGGTTAATGCCACCACGACGCGACAGATTCAAGCTGCGGTGAACTTTGCTCGGAACACGGGAGTCAGGTTGGTTGTGAAGAATACAGGACATGACTTCTCCGGGAAGAGCGGAGGAAAGGAAGCGTTGAGTATTTGGACGCATCATTTAAAAGATATCATGTTTTTGGAGGAATACGATGACGGAACATACAAAGGACCGGCAATCAAGGCAGGGTCTGGTGTACAAGGCTACGAAATGTATCAAGCCGCGAGTGAGAGAAATGTCGTAGTGGTTGGCGGCGAGGGAAAGGTGAGTGCCTAAACGCTCTTCACTTTGAATATTTGTCGTCAATCAAATGGCAAAACTGACAAAATTCGTAGACGGTCGGAATGATGGGCGGCTACATCCTTGGCAGTGGACACTCACCGCTCAGTTCTCTATATGGTACAGGCGCAGATCAGATCCTAGCCCTCGAAGTGGTTACACCAGATGGACGCTTCGTCACTGCATCGCCAACCTCACATTCTGACCTCTTCTGGGCCCTAAGTGGCGGCGGTGGCAGCACGTTCGGCGTGGTGACGTCGGCGACTGTGAAAGCACATCCGGAGATGCATGTCACGGGTGTAAGATTTATTTTCACGAGCGACCCGGACGCGGGAGGTACGGATCGATTCTTCGCGGGCCTTCGCAAGTATCTCGACTACTTCGAGTCCCACGCAGATAAAGGGATCTACTCATATTGGTTGATTCAACCTAGCACGCCAGCTCCGGGTCGCTTCACTTTTACCATGATGCCCTGGCTTGCGCCAAACATGACACGGGATCAAGCCATGCCGCTGCTGTCGCCCTGGATCGCAGATCTTGAGGCACTCGACATCAAACCCGAGCTCAATATAACGTACCACGAGACCTTTTACGAAAGCTGGCTCGCCAATTTTCCTCTTGAGGTTGTCGAGAAAACGAATGTCACGACAGCCTCGCGCATCTTTCCACGCGCCAACTTTGCCTCCGCCTCGCAGCTGAATGCGACATTTGCTGAACTCCGCACTTCGATTGAGAAGAAGAATCACGTCGTCGTGGGTTTCAACATGTCGCCTACACCACGCTCGGGCATACCGGACAACGCGGTCAATCCCGCTTGGCGAGACTGTCTCATGTTCGCCCAACAGTCTGTCCGTTGGTCACCGAATGCCACAGCCGCTGAGATCTTAACGGCGCATGAGGATTTGACTCTCAATGACATGCAACGCTGGCGCGACATCACACCGGGAGGTGGCACATACCTGGCGGAGAGTGATAGAAGGGAGCCAAACTTCCAACAGGCCTTTTACGGGGCCAAATATGATAGATTGTTGGAGGTGAAGAGAAAGTACGATCCTAAGGAAGTGTTTTGGGCTGTTACAGCAGTGGGAAGCGAGGGCTGGACTGTTGAGACGGAAGATGGGTTGCCGACTGAGAATGGGAGATTGTGTAGAGTAGTTTAAATAGGGTATTTTGCCGTCGTGGTGCACGTATAGTGGGAACAATAAGGTCAAGGTTCCTGTTAAAGAGAGCATTAAGAAGACTTGAAGTATTATGATTTATTTCACGCTTGCGTTGCCTGCTTTACTTTCTAGTCTAAGCGTTTACGTTTACAGTTTGCAGCTGTATCGGCATGTTAGGTGGGGCGAACTACTTTGAGATAGATAATTTATAGATCACTTTCCGTCTCGAATATATCTAACTCGACGCGCCGAAACAGCGTCTAGGATGCTCTACCGCCTAGTCCGGCCCGGACGGTGGGCGGGACGAACCGCCCGCCGTCTCTACCGTCTACTCGTTCAATTAGACGGGGAAGTAAGCCGTCTCATTCAGTCGGACCGATATTATAAGATTTAGTAGGGTGTTGTAAAGATTTATATAGTATTAGAGATATAAGATTATATACCAACACGCCGACACCCTAGCTCTAAACCTATTTAGTTAACTCTATGTGGCGGTGGCTAGACCGGCGTCCATTTGAACCAAGCTCCGTTAGGACCGAGGCCGTTCTTAGCGCGTGTGGACGAAGACGGTTCAGACGCTTCCTTAGCGTTCTGTCTAAATGTTCGGACCGACGGTGAATAGGCTGGACGATGCCGCACCCTGACAGCGTCGCCAGCGTAATGAGCAGCTCCGCCTGCGCAAAGTTCATACCAAATGAGCGAGTCGACCACAGACGCCCCTGACGCTTCATTCAGATCCCTGCCGCATTTGATTTGTGCTTGTCTTGTTTCTATTTGGGTTTATTTGGTCCCGTTTTCGTTGGCGTTGTTGCCGTTGCTAGAGGATTCTAGAACCTAGGCCTTTCGTGTACCAAAACTATTGCTTCTTCATACATACCGCTGTTGCCAGCAAGCCAAACTGAGCATCTACTAAAGCTCTTGACATATAGACTTGCGGAGATTTGTCCATGATAAGACTGAGCAGCCAGGAGCGAGTGAGACGCGACTGACGCGACCGATGAATCCTCAATCCAGCCATCGATTACAGTAACCATGTGTCCTCGTGTTTCTATCCACACACATCAGTAAAGCAACGGCTTCAGGGTGACCAACTATCGTTCCATCAAAAAACAACTGCTCAGTGCGGCACAGCAAAGGGAGACAAGATGTCCATAGCTTGTAGACGCCGTTTGCAGTACCTCGACAAAAAACAAAGAGTCGAATACGTCACGCAGGGCAAGAAATCTCGTGTAACATAACATTTCTCCGGGTTATCTCTCTGCAGACAAGTCCCCAACGTCGGCGGAGCAAAAGCGGCCAGTCGCCTGATCCAGCGCCTACCAAGCGAAGTCGCCACCTTGTAATAGCATGGAAGGGAAGTGGCCAGATGTCTTCTCTTTAGTGGCACCTTCAATAGTAGAAATCAGAAACTTGGTCGAGTCGGCAATGGTTGTCGGAGCTTCCTTCAAGCCGAAGGCGACTGCGGCGGAATTGCCCGATTCGGTCTGCACGAATCTATGGGGCCAGCGTCAGCAAGTTGAAAACACGAATAGGCCAGACCAAGAAGAGTGAGAAATTACCCAGGATCGACGACAAAGGCGATAATCTCGTGGTGCTCGACGTGGATTTTGCGGACGATGTAGTGCACGGCGGCCTTGGAGATGCCGTATGCTGCCACAGGGAAAGGACGCGTTTCTATAGTGCTGATGGAGCCCGATGGCGAGCCTATAGCTATGAATTTGGCGGGGCTGCTGGCCTTCTCGAGAAGCGGCAGAGTGGCCTGGAACAGGAGAAGCGGGCCGTACGAGTTAACCTCGACATGATGCTTGAGCACGTTGAGGGGCAGATTGGCAACGGGCGAGTAATCTTCTATGATGCCAGCGTTGGCAATGACAATGTCGAGATGGTCGATGCTGTGCTTGGAAACAAGCTCGTGGACGGCGGCGGTCGCCGACTTCTCCTCGCTGCTGTCAATGTGGACAACGATGAGCTTGCTGTTGTTTCCCTTTGGAATGCTGCTTAAAGCTTCGGCTGAGGCAGCCTTGCGAATGGCTGCCACGACGATGGTGTTGTCACGGCCGAGATAGCTCGTGGCGAGGGCCTTGCCAATGCCTACAACCCGCTCGTGTCAGCAACAGTGATCAGTCAAATCCAGATTACGCAGTAGCATACCTCTGCCAGCACCAGTGATGAGGACGACAGTCTGTGAAGCCATTATTCGGTTTCTGAAGTGGGAGACGACGAGTGATTTGAGAGATTGGAATTTGGAGGGAGCTTTTCTCTGGGACATGCAGTTGCCTTGTTGTAAGCGACGAACTTTATATCCATGAAGCAGCGGTTGGCCATTCAAAGGATTGGTGATCATCCATGCTTCGCCGCCCGATTGACCCGTTGTTCCAAAGGAAAAATAAGCAGAAGCTGACCCGGGGCCGCCAACGCATCCATGGTTTGTTGGTGGCGCACCTCAGAAATCCAGTCGTTGTTTTTGCTGACGCCGGACGGGAGACGGTTAAACTCAACTCCCGCCGTGGCCGCCATTATTTTGTTGCTATACACCGTAGGCGTCGTCGTATATCGTCTGTACTTTAGCCTACTCGCCAAATTCCCTAACCCCACCAAGCTGGCCGCCGCGACCTATCTTGTCGAGATATACCATAAACTCTTTCTTGGCGAAGGTGGTCAACTCCCATTCATGTACCGAAAGTGGCACGAGAAATCTGCTGAGTCTTGCGGTCATGAAGCGATACGCCGCTGACTTTGCAAAGGCCCCATCATTCGCATTAATCCTGATGAGCTCCACATCCAAGACTATGCCTGGCACGAGACAATATACTCGGCGTGACGCCTAGTGCGCGTACCAGAAAAGTTCGCAACGCGCTTCGGCAATCCACTGTCTGCGTTTGCTACGATCGATTTTGGTTTATGCTCTATTGTTGATGTTTCATACTTGGCTGCTGTCGCTATTAAGGAGTGCGGGGAAGGGCTATGCTCACAAGGTGGGGCGGCATCATTGCACCATAGCCTTGCAGCGGTGCAACGGCGCTTAAGCTGACCAGGGCAACCCAGAGCAGCTCCCTGTAATTCGCTACACGAAAGTGCTGCGCCTCGCCAATAATCTCTTACCCCGCAGCGTCGCCAGTCTGTCTGCCACAAAATAGGACTCATCACCCTCAAACACTCAAGTCAACCCTCCGTCCCAGTCGACGAGATGGAGTCTCAAAGGCGTCAAGAGTATCAACACTTTATACCACGATTCATCCTGAGAAACTTCGCTCACCAACCCGAGACACCTACACAGTCGAGACGACGAGGCAAAAAGAAAAATCTCAAAAAACCCGAGTTGCTCCATACGTTACGCTTAAGCCCATCACTGGAACTTGTTGAAACATCAGCGAATCGAGAGTTTGGGCACTTCAATCTCTATGACCAGGAATGCGAATGCTTTGAGCCAAGGGAAATTGAGTCGGCACTTTCCTGCCTGGAGGGCAAAGCTGCCAAGATCATCGCCAAGTTCGTCAAAGGGCAACAGAAAAAGCATGCGAGCGTTATGCTTCGACGAGATGAGCTTGACACCTTGCGTAAGTTCCTCTTCATCATGAAGTACCGTGGATCGATTCAACGCAGACGGTTCTACGGCGAAGACGAAAACAACGCCAAAACCTATACCTCCAACGACGGAGAAGCTATGGCGGAATACATGCAGCGGAAAGGTTATACAAAACCTATTCAGGTGTGGTACAACAACATCAAAACCATCCTGAACATGGAAATGGATATGGACTACAAATGGGTCAAAGAACTTGAAAAGTCAATGTACCCGCCGGATGCACAGTGGGCTGTTGCCAACATACAGTGCATGTACCTCGCTTTCTGTACACCGCAACACAGCGACGACGAGTTCGTACTAACGAGGAATGCGTACGAAATCCATGAAGGGCCGGTTAGCTTCTCCGTCGACCCTACGACTGGAGAAAATAAGATGACAGCCTACACAGAGTATCACAACTTCGCCCCGGTGTCCCCAAAACTGATGATCGTTCTTCGAAGCACCTTTTTACCTAATGAGGAAGAGGACGCTGTGCCCGGCCTCCGGGAAAGAAGAGAGCTATTCCGAGATATAATACACAGGAATTCCCACAATGACTACGACATGACGAACTCATTCCTCGAACATCTTCCAGTCACTAAAGCAGAAAACTCGTATACCGAAATCGTTGACGGAATGCCCGCTCTCAAGGAAGGAGAGGACCGGGATCCAGGATGCCGTCGGGCGCACGACCGATTCCATTTCCGCTTCTTCCGCCTGTCTTCCGACTACACCCAAAAGATCAACTCTATCCTTCTGAATGAGGCATATAATACATCAGAGCTCGTGTATGGCTCTGAGAAAGGCGCTCAGAGAGCCTTGAGGCACTACTTGACCGACCCATGCAAAGAAGAGGGCGCCTATCCGCTAAAGATCATTCCGTCTCCAGATGATCCGAGGAAACTTTTCCTCGAAAAGCTCGAGCAGGCAGCACAGCTACTAGGATTTCAGGCCAAGGCAAAGTTCGACATTGGTTTTTCTGAGTGGATTGATGCAGTCTGTCCAGATATATTACCTCATATCCGTACTCCTGCGTTCGATCAGATGGTGTTCGAATCGATGCAACGAAGAGCTGCAGAAAAACGGAGAGAGCCATCCCAAACTTCCAAGCGGCACAAAGGAGGCGAACGAAACAGTGGGACTCAGCAAGAAGCACAAGTGTCACGGCAAAAACTGCCACACGTTTCTGAAGAGCGGGCCCGTCAGAAGCAAGTTTACGCAGTGCGGAGTCGACGGATGCGCGAAGACAAAGATATCTTGAGGGAAGTGCATCAACTCGAACGCCACAGCTCAGCTGCAACACTTGAAGTTTTCAGTGAAGAATACCACGACAAAGAAGCTTTAATCAAAAGCAATCATCTCCGTCGAGATACCGCCCAGGGAAATAAGGCACAACTGCCGCTACTTCAAAAGCCGCGGCACCGTGTAAAAGAGATTTCTCAAAACCGTGTAGGAGTGTTTCAAGATACACCTCGTGGTCCACGTGCCCCATTGAAGCACTCTAACTCCAAAGGCCGGGAACGAACAGATGCAACGGAAAACATCAATCAAAGGCGGGACACTACCGAAGCAGGAGAGCAAATTTATGGCTCTATCCTGAAAGGCCTTTTGGTATTACTAATTTTTGCCCCGGTGCTATTTGCTATCCCATTCATTTGGGCTCTATCTAAACACGTGGCTGTTCGGTTAGTAGATAAGTTTGATACTTCGATGTCTACCTTTGAGGAAAAGCAAACTAGCGAAAAAGAAGCTAGCCATCTTATCCGAGACGACACTCGAGCAAATGGCAACAGGTCTTCACCTGAAGAAGCTTCGGACTTAATCAGAGGTCAACTCAATTTCGATATCACTGTATCGAGGATCTCGAAAATTACGGCTGTATTGCTCTTGGTAGAATCATTGTGGGTCCTTGCTTGCATTAATTTGCTATTAGATGGAATCGCAAGGATTCTAGAAGCTATCCTAGCATCTCTCGGAAGATATATCGTCTCCTTTTTTTTAGGTCGATCTATCTCTCTCGGTTCTAAGATCTCTATCTTTTATCTAACGCGATTACGAAAAAAATTTAGAAATGCCACGAATTTCAGAAGAATGCTATTAGTACTCTTCCCAAGTTGACGAGGCTGGACAGCCTGCTGAACGGTGGTACCAAGCAGTGGAGTAAGAGTAGTAGGCTGCTCTAGCTAATTGTGGAAGGTTGGCACGGGACTCGATAATTGGCTGGCCCTGTTCATGCACGACATGGTTGCACTGTTGGCTGAGTGCTTGCGTCGAGTTGCTTACGACGCCTCCGGCTCTGTGGTTCACGCTCTCGTCGCCGAAATTCCCCCAGATTACGATGTTGTTGCCTGTTTGTACAACTGAAATCCATTTAATAAGCTGCATAATATTATTTATATCTCTATTGAGTGATCGGTTGCTTTCGATATTCCAGTCTAAATATAGCATCTGTATAAGCCAGTGCTGCACGAGGCTAGGTGGGCCTGCTAGGCTATAAGTACTCATGTTTACGCTCTTCGCAATTGGAGCATCGCAATTCGCAAAAACCCATCAAATTTACCATATGTCCTCCCACCACTCTTCTGATGAGGCATCGTCAGTGCCCTTTGGGTCGAATGTTGAAAACAATGACAAACCTCACCCAGAGGGTAGCAAATCTGAACTTCGTCTATGGTCTCCGTGGATACTCCGCCGTACTACATTTGGTGTTTTTCTACTTACCTGGATACTCCTTCTGGCTACCCTTGCTGCTCTAGGGGCTTATGATCAGAGTAATAAAGGAATAATCAAGGCAGACGCTACTCACCATGTTCTTTGGACTTACGGGCCAACGGCTGGTAAGAATTAGAGGCACCCTCCTAAAACCAAAGAATCTACACTAACTTAAACAGCACTATCCTTAATAGCAGCCATATGGACGCTACTGGAATACAGGACCAAACAGATGCTGCCTTGGGCCATTTTACAAAGAAGAGAGACGGCGGCTGCAGAGACCCTACTCCTTGACTACGTGTCGCAAAACCCACTGAAATGCTTGTATACTTCCTACAAGGCAAAACACTGGGCTATCACCATGGTTGTCATTGTGTCTTTTTTAATCCGGATGCTCACTGTTCTTTCAACTGGACTTTTCATGCCACAATACCAAAATCGTCAGCACATTGATATACCAATAATGGCTGAAGATCGGTTTGAACCTTCTGCTTTAGAGAGTATCCCATACTCCCATACCCCCGCCCTACTTCCGGTTGCTTTTTTGAACTACAAATTAAAGTTTCCGGCTGGAACATCTGACCGCTTTGCCATACCTACTTTTACTAGCTCAGGTATGTCCAACTACTAAGCATCAAGAAAATGCCGAACTAATTCAAGTAAACAGATACTAAACTCGATATTGAGACAAAGACAGAAGCATTCCAAGCCAACCTGGACTGCGAATTTGGGAGTATGTGGGTTAGTGGTTGGTCATGCAACTCAACTAGTCCACGAAACTGCGACTTCGGCAACCACTGGACACTTCGTCTACAATCAGAGTCATGTCAGACTGCTGAATTCCTAGCACCGAGCAACTTTGTTAAGACCATGCTCGTTTCCGATGGAATGGCCATGTTCTATGGTGTTACGTTCCGAGCATCCTGTGTTTCTCCCGCAACGGATCGTTTCATTATTGCTGCTGGCCTTCTGAACTACGACACGACAAAGCCCGGTGTACTCCAGGAGCAAAAAAACACAACCGTTCTTGTTTGTAACCCAGAGTACGCAGTCAATGAGGTGATTGCTCGTGTTGATCGGTCCGGAAATATTCTCAACGTAATTACTGACATGCCTACGAACGCCTCTGACAAACAACAACTTCTGAAAGTCAGCAACTGGGACTTCTTTACTCGGTTTGAGTGGGTTCTAAATGACGCCATGTCCACTTTGGCCGGCATGTCCTTAGACGTGCTGGGAGGCGACAATACATTAAACAAGATCAAGTTCAACGGACGCTCTTATCCCCTACGCCTTGACCGCTTCTTTACACTTTACGTTTCTTTGTTCAAAGTCGACATTAAATCCTTCCTGGATGCCCCAACAACTTACCAGAGAGCACAAAAACTTTTCGGCCTTGTGTCGGTTCAGATTGCCAAGAACAACCTTATGGTGCAGGACAAAAGAACGCAGAATGGTACTTACTCTACGTCTGAAAATTGGCTTCATGTTAGAGGATTATCCCTGTATTGGATGCTGGCGACAGTTAGTACGTTATTACTTCTTACTGCTCTCCTAATGCTATACACACCTGGACGGGTAGTCTCGCGCGATCCCGGTTCTATCGGTGGACTGGCAACTATCTTAGCCCGCAGCCCTTCTCTAACCAATCTTCTATCGGCTCACGGGTCTTCTACAATACCCATTCTCCGACAAGTATTGCAAAATTATGTCACTAAGAGCTGTGTGGTACACACTCACGCGGGCCCTGAATTCAGAATCGATGTCATACCTCAAGAATACAATTTTACCGAGCTCGAAAACGATAAAACTCCGTACTGGTGGCGCCCTTTTTCGATATCGGCAACAACAAAAGCAACATTTATTATTATCCTAGCCCTTCTAATCATGGCTTTGGAGGTCATGTTCCAAACTTCGGAGAAAAAGCAAGGCCTAGCCAGCGTTGAAACAACAAGCTACGTGCGATATACTTGGGTCCACTTGCCAGGTCTGGTAATGTTAGTGATTCAACTCCTAGTGGGCATGATAAATTTCACTTCCAACGTGTTTCTACCTTACCACGAATTGCGGCATTGGCCATCACGAGCACAGTCGACGCTTCTCAACGACCAACTCCCCCGATTGACAGTCCATTCTCTTTTCAATTCGATAACAGGAGGTCACTGGGCTATTACTGCCACATCGACAGCCTTGCTCCTAGCGCCGTTCCTTACCATTGCCGCAAGCGGACTTTACAGTTCCGAGGAAGTGTTGGCAACTTCCAACTCCAACGTTACCGTGGACAGTATCTTTGATTTCCACTCATTACCACTTCGAACAAGCCAACAAGATCACGGGTTAGGCTTCTTCGTGAGCATGATTCTACAGCAAAATCTACCCCCACAAAACTGGACGCATGATGAGTTTGTGTACCCGGAAATCAGCATTCCCTCGGATAGCATCCCGAACTCAGCCTCAGCAGCATTTCCCAACTTTACCACTACTATGCCAGTCTTGCGAAGCTCGCTAGATTGCTCACCTATCCCCGAGGATAACCGAAATGTTACGTTCGGAATAAAAAATGAATGGGTTTCATTTGTAAAGGTGCGATTTCCGGTTCCTGTCGGCTGCATGGACAACGACGAAACAGAATACGAAGTCGAACTGTTTAATGTCGAGGCCTATCCTTCTGCCCGTATGATTGACCTGTCTTACAACACTACCAGCTTTGGTTGTCCCTCAATTTTAGCCTTCTATGGCGCAGAAGAGTCCAACCTCAAGTACGTAACATGCACGAAGACCACCCATCAGTTGCAAGTCAAAACTACATTCGAGCTTCCCTCCTATTCAATTTTAGCGGCGGAACCCATCGAAGATAGCGCCGTCGAGATTGTCGACGGTCTAACCGTCCTCAATCTCTTCGAAGCTGCACTATCATACTTCTACCAAGTTTTTCTCGAAGATTCATATTCTTATCTCAGTGTTGTTGGTGCCAGCGAATTTGTCACCACGATTCTCCTCGAAACAGCCAGAAATGTTAATCTCAGCATCGAAGACATTGTCAGCGCGGCGCCCAACAACACCGCACCCTTGGAGCATACCATGCACGAGATATGGAGTGTCATCTTCGTCCAATACGCCAACCTTATCGCCCGTGCCCCTGTAGCGGCTGCCACTACGACTACTACCACGACCTCCGACACTGTTGCTAATACCAACACGACTATAACTTTCGTTCCTGCGCCAAATATAACAACTAACAATGCAAACCTTACCGGCATCCTTAACTACCTTTCTACCTCTCCCCGCCTTCGCCAAGACGCCGTTTCGACGCGTATCTTGGAAGGATTACTCGCCGCTATCGCACTATGCATTGCGGCCAGTTTCTGGGGCATGAATACTAAGGAAATTTTGCCTAAAGATCCTTGCGGAGGTATCGCGGCGGCAGCAAGTTTAGTGGCAGGCGCAAAGGAAACGTTAATGCGAGAGGAGATGATACCGCAAGGAGCGGAGTGGTTAAGTGATAAGGAGTTAGGAAAGAAGGGAGTATTTGAGGGAATAGTATTTAGTATGGGATGGAGAAATGGCGGAGAAAACGAGATTAGTGGTAGTAGACGGTGGTTTGGGATTGATTTAGGGAAATCAGAGTGGATATAGGGATTTTAATAGCTTTTAGTACTTTGGAGTCTACCTTAATACTATAGACTAGAATAGATACGGATTGGTATTACCCAAGTTCGTGCTAAAATTAGTTTTAAGTCGGCTTAAGCAATTAAAGCAGCGCATAAGACTATTTATACTTAGAATACTTAATTATCTAGATAGATACCCCTACTACTAAGAGGGCCGGGATAAGGGCCCCTAAACAAAACGTTATAGTATAAACATTAAATAATCTACTAAAAGGTTTCAAATAATGTGATATATATTAGATAAAGCTATATAATAAAGCCATAGCTTTCTAACACGACCAGTAATGAAGATAAAAGTATAGGAAGTAGTTTTATAAACAAATATTAATATATCTTCTCCTATAGGAATTAGGGAAATTATTTTTGACGTACTAATAGATAAAGTATAAGCACCCTATTACTTTACACACACGCTACATCCTAGATAACTACCAGACGTATTAACTTTACATGGTTAAACGCAGGAAGTACAGGCTCATCTACTATTATCTTGCATTCAACCCTCTTAAACCTGTTATCGATTTTAGACGGCTTCAGGAGAAGGTAGAACCGCGAATACTTACCCCTATATCGTTTACCAGGTCTTTGGAGGTATATAGAGCCCACCGTATTTCACCAACCCATACACAAACCAGTAGGCTATTAAAATTATCGTAGTCAATTTCCTCGTCTGGAGTGAAGGTAATAGGGCGACTAGCTTTGTTATACAATTCGAAAATTTTGGGCCTCGAGCGGGGGCCCGTTAAGATTATCTTACCTCCTCGACTTCGGGACGAGAGGTAGGACACATCGTATTCAAAATTAATGGCCCTAGAAGTTTACATAACGTCTCTAATTTCTTGGAAAACTATGTGTGGCTTATCGGCTCCTAGAGTAACTTTACTATTAAACTTTAAGCTCACAGAAAGCCCATCAATAATAATTTCCCCTCCTTTTACCTAGCCATTTGTGTCTAAAGTCGAGCACTCGACGCTGGCGCTGACGAGGTTGATTTTGCTTTGGAAAGGACAAATGCCAATGTAATCCTGTAATAAGCCTGTGTGGTCCACGATAGTGACTCTAGGGTACCCGGCCGGGCCTTTATGGGATGCCCAGCTCCAAGTGGGCGGGATGTATGCCTAATCTGAGCGCCTTGTCCACGGTTTTTTGAGCTTCCACCAGACCAAGCAGGCAGCTAGGTTTTCTTTCCGTAGACCCGCTAAGTAGGTCGGCGTCTATTGCTTGTCGGTTGATTGATTGATTGATTGATTCGTTTTACGTCTATATGCAGTTGGAAACTATGACGGACGGTCCGTTTAGGACAGGCTAGGGGGTTTAAATACAAGATAAAAGCGAGG